CCGGGGAGGGGGGGCCGCGCTGGCTGCCTGGCTCCGTCTCAGACGGCTCGGTTAGCCGGCCCAGCCCGGCCCTGCCGCAAGAGCCGACGGGAAATGGAGTCCCCGCCGCTCTCCGCCTGGTTAGCTGGGACGGGCCTTAGGACTCCATTTCCCAGAAGCGGCAGCCAAGGGACAGGCCCTTCGGACTCCTGCCGAAGGGCATCGTGGATCCTGAAGTCCTCTAACGCCGCAGTGTTCCGGTGTGGGTTCCGTCCGAGGACTTTACGTCCCAGAGTGCCATGCGCAGGGACACGCTCTGCGGCAAGGAGGTGTGGGAAATGGAGTCAAGGGCCGCTCAACCGCTTGCCTTGAAGGGATGGGAAAAGACTGCGTCTCCCAGCATCCTCCGCAGGAGGCTCGCTAAACCTATCGCAGAATGGGGCTACTGCATAGGCTCTCGTAGGCAGAGCGGGCGGGGAGGGGGAGTCGGAAAGGGCAAAAAGCGGGGGAATTCTTTAGGCCGCCTGAGAACCAAGAACGGATTTGGGCCTTTATGGACTCTGATAAATAAACGGTTCCAGAGGTGAGGCCTAGGAAACTGTGACGCGGTGCATGATGGGAGTTGAGGGTCCGCTTTCCTTTCATGGCCCGGGCGGACCTCGTGACTTGGGAAGTTTTGGACTACAAGGAGGCGACTACCCCTCCCATCATGCATCGCGAGAAGAAAGGCCGTGGCCGGTGGGGGGGGGCGAGGCGCGCGGCGGCATTGAGGCCCCTGGCCCCTCAGAGGACTTGGCAGACCCTTGAGTTTACTCCCACTGGGCAAGATGGGCGCCGTTGCCCAGGGAAACGAACGGCCTGCCTGCAGAAAGGATGGCTTGGTGGAGCCCTCAGAAACCGGAGGAGTCGTCCCGGCATGCACTGCGGTGTTTGGTGGGGGGGGGGAGGTTGGAATTACAATTCCTATGGTGCACAGCCCTGTTCCTGGAGGAGAGAGTGCATGGGATATGTAGTGTGCTCCTTTGGAGGAAGGGCATTTTCAGTCCTTGGTGAAATCAGTTTTTAAGCTTGACAATCTGAGCCGCAGGCTCTGCACTATCTATCCATCTATCTATCTATCTATCTATCTATCTATCTATCTATCTATCTATCTATCTATCTATCTATCTATCTATCTATCTATCTATCTATCTATCTATCTATCTATCTATCTATCTATCTATCTATCTATCTATCTATCTATCTATCTATCTATCTATCTATCTATCTATCTATCTATCTATCTATCTATCTATCTATCTATCTATCTATCTATCTATCTATCTATCTATCTATCTATCTATCTATCTATCTATCTATCTATCTATCTATCTATCTATCTATCTATCTATCTAATTAATTAATTAATTAATTTTATTGTATTTATACCCCGCCGATCTAGTCATTTCGACCACTAAGGCTTTGGAGAGAGAGAGAGAGACAGACAGACAGACAGACACACACACACACACACACACACACACACAGAGAGAGAGAGAGAGAGAGAGAGAGAGGGCCCAAATATAGGT